CTAACATCATCTACCTGGTGTGTTTTGCAGGAAGGATTTGGCGGAACAGCCTGTGAAACCTGTGTTGATGACAATTTATTTGGACCAAACTGTTCAGCAGGTATGTCTGATTTTTGTGTAATCAATACATTTGTAAGGGTTCAAAGTCAAGCATGGTTTATGCAGGAAACACCCCAGAGAACTTTCCTTGAGGGAAAACACTGAACAGTTATACATAATCAAGTCCACACAGGCAAAACAAAAAGCTGACAACAAATCTGATGTAATACAGTCATTGAAAAGACAGGCAGTGTTTTCTGTATTCAGCTGGTCTTTGGTCTTCAGCACTTGCAGGCAGCTACTTACATGTAGTGCTTTCTGGTATGTTGTTGTTGTTAGTTGCTTTCAAGTTGATTCCAACTCATGGCAATGCCATGTGTTACAGAGTAGAACTGCTCCATAGGGTTTTCTTGGCTGTAATCTTAATGGAAGCAGGTTTCCAGGCCTTTCTTTCATGGTACCACTGGGTGGGTTCAAACAAACAATCTTTAGGATAGCAGTCAAGTGCAAACCATTCTGGCACACTGAGTGTCTTAGTTATCTAGTGCTGCTATAACAGAAATACCACAAGTGGGTGGCTTTAACAAAAAGTAATTTATCATATTTCAGGAGGTTAGAAGTCCAAATTCAGGGCACCAGCTCTAGGGGAAGAATTTCTCTCTCTCTGGATTCTGAGGGAAGGTCCTTGTCCTCAATCTTCCGGTGGTCTAGGAGCTTCTCAGTGCAGGGATCCTGGGTTCAAAGGACGCGCTCTGCTCCTGGCTCTTCTTGTTTGGTGGTAATGAAGTCCCTCTCCTCTCTGCTCATTTCTCTCTTTTATGTTTCAAAGAGATTGACTCAAGATATAACCTAATCTGTAGATTATGTCCTGCCTTATTAACATAACTTCCTCTAATGCTGCCTCATTAACATCATAGAGGATACGATTTACAACACATAGGCAAGTACATCAGATCACAGAATGGAAGACAACCACACAACACTGGGAATCATGGCCTAGCCAAGTCGACACATATTTTTAAGGGGCACAATTCAATCCATATCACTTAGGGACATATGCTTTCCTCTCCCCAGGCTCTGGGACCCAAGCAGCTGCCTGGTCCGTGTACAGCTTCTCTTTGAGGTCCTTTTGGATCCTGGTCTAAGTGCAGATGTTCTGCCAGAGGCATTTACTTCCCCACTGGTCCCTCCACATTCTAATTTTACCCTTCCCTTTGGGGGTTAACAAATAAATACCTGCCATGGCCAGGAACTGATGGCTCTATTTTGCAGGTTAAAAAAATGAACAAACAAAAACCT